TTGCTGAAGAGAGGAATTGAGGCGGATTTATTTGTGAGGAACTGTTTGATTACTCTCTATTGCAGGAACGGAGAGATTTCCCATGCTCGAAAAGTTTTTGATGGATTTGAATCTAGGGATTTGGTTTGTTGGAACTCAATGATTGCTGGGTATGCAGGGTGTGGCCAAATGGTTGAAGCACGGAAACTGTTTGATGAAATGCCTGAGAAAGACAGTTTCTCATGGGCTATTTTGATTGATGGATATGGCAAGAGGATTGGGGATGTTGAGGGTGCCCGGAAGTTGTTTGACGAATTGCCTCTGAAGGATATAGTCATTTGGAATTCAATGATCAGCTGCTATGCTGGTGCAGGAAACATGAACATGGCTTGGCAACTCTTCAATGAGATGCCAACAAGGAATGTGATTTCATGGAGCATCCTAATTGATGGCCTTGTTCAGCATGATAATCCAAAGGAAGCCCTAATCCTATTCCAGGAAATGCTCCGGCACGGTACTAGGCCTGATAGAGTTGCGGCGATCGCTGCAATCACATCCTGTGCTCAACTGGGTGCGCTCGATCTGGGCTGCTGGCTGCATTCCTATATGAAAAAGAACAAAATTTTGCTCGACGCCGTCGTCCTTACAGCTCTGATTGATATGTACATGAAATGTGGGAGTCTGGAGGTGGCAAGAAGGCTTTTTGAGAAGATGAATAATAGGAGTGTTGTGACTTGGAATGTGATGATAGTAGGACTTGGGACTAACGGTCATGAAATTGAGGCTGTTGAGGTTTATCATAGAATGGAAAGAGAAGGAGCATTCATGGATGACTTGACTTTCCTTGGTGTCCTGACAGCCTGCTCTCATGGAGGATTGATCAGTGAAGCATTGAGGATATTTGGCAGAATGAAGAATGATTTCAGGACCGAGCCCAAGGTGGAACATTACGGTTGCTTGGTTGATCTCCTCGGACGTGCGGGGCGGTTAGAAGAAGTTTGGGGTTTTATAAAAGCCATGCCCATGAGACCCACTTCAACCTTGTGGGGATCACTTCTTGCAGCTTGTCGAACTCATCGATGTGTCGAGTTGGCTGAGCTTTCAGTTAAGCAGCTTGCCAGTCTTGGAGCAGATGATTGCGGTGTTTATGTGCTGATGTCTAATATATATGCAGATAAAGGTATGTGGGATGATGTGTGGAGGATAAGAAGGCTGATGGGTGAGAAGGGGATGAATAAAGAGATTGGAAGGAGTGTGGTGGAGATAAATGGAGTTGTTCATGAGTTTATTAATGGGGATTGCTTACATCATCTTAGAGAGAAAGTTTATGAAGTCATTTGGAGTTTGTCTCTTGCATTAGATTCAAGCAGTTAGATTTCCACTTTACAATCAGGTTTGAGGTTACAGTTTATTAAAAAAGAGGAGTTTTAAATTATTGATGCTCCCATCAATTTGAGCTTTGGGGAGGGGTTTTTGATAATGATTGTTTCCATATATTTTGATTTGATTGTGTGCAATTTTGAGATTGATGCTGAAAGGGAAGACAAGTTGCAACCTCCTTTTATTTCATTCCAGCTAGCATCCTCCACCTTGATGACCTCCCTTTAGTCTCCCTTCTTCCCAAGCTTAGTTAATCTCTCCTTTATTGTACTAACACTCTTGTATATGTACCCTACACTGTTTTTTTAACATGATCATCGCTTTTGTCACCAACATAATCCTACACAACGTTGCTATGATCAAGAATATACATGTTTGCCACATTTTTTGGTCAACTTTTTTCTCAGATCTTTATCAAATTGAACTTCGCCTAGGTTGAATCTTGAGCTGAACCTAATTTAATAAGATTAAAATCTAACTAAACAAATAATAAAGCCAATCAAAACAAAATAAAACAAAATCACGTCGAGTTCTATCAAATCTTAAATTTAAGCTAAAATTAAGCTTTAATCGATGAATACTTCAAAATTATTGTATTATCTCTTCATAGTATTGTAGGTCTTGAAATTTATTATGAAAATTGCAAAGTATTTATTGTCACATTTAAAAAGATCATGTAAACAAGTTCGACAATCGTAGGATACAATTTTTATGTAAAACATTTCAGCTCAAATTTTAATGCATGAATAGTGCTCCAGACACTCTAAAATTTTCTTTCTATCCGCAGGCCAACCCGGTGATCGGAATTACATTATGTAAATTGCTCAGTGTTCATATTCACATTTTAAGAGCATACAAACCAATTTGGGGATCACAAGGCATCACTTTTATCTAAAATTTTGTTTTTAAGGCATGAAAAATGACTCCACATAAAAAATCCTTAACGAATCATTATTTTTCAAAATGAACTTCGTCCCAGCATCTGTATCGTTGAAGGCTTTAAAATGAACCCCTTAGTGCCTAAATCCGACTCCATTTGGGGATCGTCAAGCCAATAATAATTTGGATGATAATTTCACTAATAAAAGAAAAGTTGCAATAAGACACTTAAAATGAAATAAAATCAAAATTAAACCTTAACTAAAATTAATATGACATCGTCAAACCAACAATAATTTGGATGATAGTTTCACTAATAAAAGAAAAGTTGCAATAAGTCACTTAAAATGAAATGAAATCAAAATTAAACCTTAACTAAAATTAATATGACCTGGAAATACTTATTTTTATCAATTAAAATCAACGAGAAACTAACTCAAATCCCCTAATTTTATCTCATTGGTGGGGCCCACATTTTGACCTAAAATATCTTTAGATGGGGCCGACTTTAACCAAAACCAATTTCGTAGTTGAATTTCTTGTATTTTTCTCTTCTGAATGAGCCCAAGTTAAAATTTTTTGTCATAACCACCTTGTAACCGCTTAGTCACTTCAACTTGACAGATATTGTGCTAAAGACCTCTAGTTTCAAAACAAATTGAACCATTGGATTCTTTGCTTCATTTTCATCAAAATATTGTTAAGTGGGGCATCATTGTTGGTTTAGGTCATCCCTCAATCATGGACAGATTGTGTGCTAATGTATGGCACTTAGATTCCTACTTCAACATTGAGTAGAACAAAGTTTTTTCATTCAAGGGTTTTGTTCTACTTCAATGGTTAATCAGGTGAATATTTTGGGAGAGGAGGTTATAGGCCTCCAGAGATGACAACATAATATTGGTCAATAATTTGACCTTTACAAGGATTAGCACCAAGGATAGTGCACCCATATAGCTAAGTTTAATTCAGCATTGATGAGCATGTCTTAGCATTGCCAAATGAGTGCCAATCTTGTTTAGAACTGATTCCCACCTACACCTCTGTTTGTGCATTATGCGAGGCCAAGCAACTAATAGATGCATGGAATGAAGATGAAGGTGAAAACAACTATTGAACATTTTAGTCTTTTATACTATTAACAATTGAACAATTGGAGTTTATCATATTTTAATTTCTTGTATAATATTTAGGAAAGAAAATCTATTATATGCTCATTTTAAAAGATTATATCACAAAATTTTATAATATTTAATTAATTATAAATATTAGAGATCAATTATTACTTATTAGAACACTTCATAGGAATTTTAATAAAGATAAAACTTTACCCAATAGTTGAATTACTTTAGTACTATGTAATTATAATTTTAAATAAAAATTTTAATTTTTCTGAAAATAATTTTTCAATGAAATTTAATTTTAAAAAAAAATTATTATAAAAAAAACTTGAGAAAATAAATCCATAGTTATAATTACTTGAGTGCAGGTAATATACAAAGTTTGGGAGAATTTATTAAGGGGTTAAATTGCATAAAAATTAAGTGTTATTTTGTACTTTTATAATGTTTGTTTTTGAATTTTATTATAAGAAACTAATAGATAATAAATTAAAAAATGAGCAAAAGCACATGCAGCCCTGTAACACTAGATGCACAACGCTTGAAGTCACTAGTTTCAAGGCAAATTCTTGAGTGCTTTGTTTGATGTTACTAGTTTTGAGCACCACAACCTCGAAAATTCAACACCACTTTATTGGCTTTACAACACCAAAGTTTATGAAGATTTTATAATGAATGACAAATCTGAGATCCTGGCATCTTAACAACATGGCCTAATATAGAGCACTTTCATTAGAGTTTCACGAAAGCAAAACATGAAAATTTTGAAGCTAAAAACCAAGGTGGGGCATAGGGGAGTTCCAATCTAATATACAATGCAATTATTGTGTGTGCAACACAACACTAGTAGTGTTGCAACGTTAGTTCATGACACCATAATGCAATGAACTTACAAAGGAGTTTTCTCGTAATTACAGAGTGGGTCAATAAGAGTAATGTAGCATATCATAATAGTTTTTGAGTTGTTTAGACACTATGGATTATGTAGTGTGTGCGTGGATGTACATTAGTAGTGGACTTAGTGTTAATCGTGTGAGTAAGGATTGTAAGCGAGAGTGAGAGGAAGAGTGTGTGGCTATGCAAGAAGAGGGGATCAAGTTCACATTTAATCTTCTAGGTTTAAATTAGATTCTATTCTTCTAACTTAGCGTAGCCTTGTATTTATTTGATGTTTTTGTATTTGTTTTTACCGAACATGTGTAACAACTAAGTAAACATTATCTAAACATGACTATCTTAAATTTTTATGTACGTTGTGCTTTTTCTTTGGAACTAATAATGAAGAATTTATTATTTTGTTAACTTTAATTCTAATTTAAAGATAAAATGGTCGAGTGTGTTTTAAAATCAACTTTGATATAATAGTTTTGAAGAAAATCTAATGAAATAGTAGGGTTAACATCCATATTTCTGAAAATAAAAAACAATTTTTTTAAAAAAAAATTTCAATCTCAGTGAGGAATAGTGATCACTGAATCTTTTGTAAGTTTTAGGATAAAAATATCCCTAATTTGTAATTTGAAGACTCAATATTTTTTAAGTATTGGTGGAGATTATGAAATAATATTCTTTTCGATTGACAACAGTTTGTTGGAAAATCTAGCACGCATTTACATAGATTTATGTACTAAAAAATTTAGAAAACCATATCATTTGAAAACTAACTTAAAATCCTCATTCTTTCAACTAGATAAAATTTTGATTTTAGAAAAATTACCACTTAATTTAAATCGATCCCGATCCTAGTTGGAATTATTTTGTACTTTATCACTTAATTATTAGAACAACATGTACACTTGGATTTAAATTATTTTGTACTTTATCACTTAATTATTAGAACAACATGTACACTTGGATTTAAATTATTTTGTACTTTATCACTTAATTATTAGAACAACATGTACACTTGCGTACACAATATTGCAATTCAAAGTTCTCTTTTCCATAGATAAAGTCAATTAACCTTTTGATCAACTTGATAGTAAAAGATAATTGCTTTTATGTCAGTAAGTCGAAGATCTTCAATCCATGATAAAAGAAGATAGAATCCAATAATATTTAGATACAAGGGTCTTAGTTAGTGAGTTTTGAGTAGAAGATAGAGAATCTTAATCTATGATTCCTTCGTTATGAACTTCTAGATATGTGCTAGCTTGCTTTTGTTAATAAAATTGCTTCAACTGGGAGTTGAGAATCGAAAAGCTTGAACTTAATGTTGGAAAGGCTTCTTTTATTGGCCAGTTAGATTTTCTATTATTGTAAGTGTTATGCTTATTTGCCATGAACTATGTCATTAATGAACAATTTTAAAACAAAAGATAGAATATGACTTCCAATATTATTATGTGCTAAAATACTTGCAGTGGTAAAAAATAAAGCTTAATGTTTAAATATTTCAAGAAGAATATACAGATAAACATTTAAACTAAGAGCAACAGAAGTGAAACATTAGTTTCTTTTATTCTTATTTTTTCTTGAAAAATCTAAAAAGGAAAAAACTATGGGATTTAGCCCGATTAAAATATCTTCAATCCATAAGGTAAACATTATAATGAACAACTCTTCCTTGTTGCCATAAGATGAGGGATTATGAGGCTTAAATTACAAGGAGTTTGATCGTGGTCGTGGTGAGTGTTGGAAGACAGTGAAACATGTAAGTAGATGTTTGGATGATGATGGACACTAATATTGGTTAATAATAGAGTTGATGGTAGAAAGTGATGACATGCATCATAAGTTAGTAAACAATGTTAGCAAAAGTTTATGGTAGGCGATGATGATTATCAAAGGATGAATTATATTGATCATCAATATTAGTTGATGGTAATGATGGATGCTAGTTCCAAAAATCAGAGGCTAGAAGATGATCAACACATTTATTGTTTTATTGTATTTGCAAGACTAGATGAACAACAAAATGCATAGAAGTCTCGATAGAAATAAATCCTAAAGACAACAAGTTGGTGTTTCAAGTGATGTTAGGAGCTTTTAAATTATCCATGTTTGTGAAGTTTTTTTTTATACCAAAAAAATGTCCTAATATATGCATGTACGTGGACTATTTATAATTTTGTTTGTGACTTTTATAAGAATTATGAATAGATCTTTGTTGATCAAGTATGTTTGAACAGTTTAGCATGTTTATACACTCAGAATTAGTGAAAAAATAAACTCCATCTCATCAAAACACTTAATTTGGATATAAACATAAAAATTTTTGATGTCCTTTTATAACTGAACAGTCTCAATAAATGTCGAAGTATGTTTGTGCCTACTTAATATAGATCTATTTAGACTCAATTTAGATATTCTAGTATTATTGATTTGTCACATCATATCACAATACCTTGATTATAAATTTAGTAAATAATGTGTGGATGATCTCATAAATAATTTCTTAAAAAACTTTGATTAATTTATTTCGGTATTTAATATCTGAAAATTTATGTTAAAATTTGAATAATATTTTCAGCATTATTCAAAATTAAATAATTTTAAATATTTACTAAAATTAAAAATAAATTATTTTATATATGCTTGAAGCTACTCTCATTATTCATGCACATAAAGAATAAAGTAAAATTAAGCAAGCATGGCTCAATAAATACATATGCCAATGTGCAAAGATTCCAAAGAATGTGCTAGTGATGTTTTCACTCAAGTAAACAATAAAAAAATAATTTTTATTAAATACAAATTAAATATTACATAGACATTATGATAAAATAGAAAATAAGTAGGTGGTTCATATTTTGCTACAATATATTTAAGTGTTGCTTTGTTCCCCTTTTACTTTAGCATGAGATGCACATTTTTATCATACATAGTAATTTGAATTGTGCTAGAACCAATGAAAAGGAAACACCTATATAAATTATGACATAACTAACACTATTTAATTTTTAATTGGATGATAACTATGTTTGCTGTTTGATGCAATGTACACGCAACCTGTCTTTTTAGTAGCGCACAAACGGGACGCTGATGCTGTCACATTCCATCTTCTCCCCACCGCAGATAAACTTGAGATTACGCGGCGGCCGCAAGCTGAAGATTTGATCTCCGGCGACTCGAGGAGGAATACAGATGGCCTCGCCGGGAAACCCTAATTGGCTACTTGAATGCCCCCTGATCGAGGATTTCACGGTGCCGCCGGAGAACGAGTTCATCTGGACGGCGCAGGGATTCAACGAGGCGTTGTCTAATGGCAGGTGCGTTGATGATGAGGAATTCTGATAGGTTGCATGATTCGAATTTCTTAGGATCATCTGTCGTGTTCTAGGGCTATTGTATCTTCAGATTGATTTTAGGTTTTTTTTTTTGGTTTTCTCGAACGATTTTGGCGCCTTGATCTTGATTCTTGATTTTTTTTTCTCTCTAATTCTGACTCTGTATTTCAATTGATTTTTTTTTTTTTTTTGATATTGTAGTGAAATCCATTATTTTGTTTGAAGCTTGCGATTCCATTTGGCATTCCT